AGAAGAAGAAGAAGAAGAAGAAGAAGAAGAAGAAGAAGAAGAAGAAGAAGAAGAAGAAGAAGAAGAAGAAGAAGAAGAAGAAGAATTCTTATGAAGGCTGGAAGAATGTTTCATATGAAAAGAGGAGAGGACAGTGGGTTGCATGCCAGACAGAAAACACTTAAACTCACCCAACCTTTGAAACACACCAGATGATGGACTCTCAAACTGAGGTCCAAACCAAATGGCTATGTGATCAGATCAAGCATTTGCTCAAACAGCCGATGGTGTTCCTATTGTAACAAGGAGGAGAGGCAAGAGAGAGCGTACCATCCTCACAGAGGACAGACAGGGTTGCATTTTCCATTTACTCTTGAGCACATAACCTAGATCTAAGAGTCTGTAGACTTAGCTATAGTTTATTCTTTCTTGTGTCAATTGATTTGTTTAAGTTTATATTTTGATTCTCAGTAAGTTAAAAAAAAGTCTAGACTTTGTTTTGTGAACATGATAAAGATATGGAGAAAAACTAGGATGGAATAATTTAATAGTTTCTTACCACCCTAAAGCTTCTATTTTAATAGTAACGACAAACCTTTATATGATGTCTATGTGGTTAAGAATAGCTTGTTCACAACATAAATTCAAGTTTTGTGCTGACTTTCCAGTTTATTCACAAGCTTTTATGCAAATTGAACAGGTTTCATATGTATGCAAGGCCACATTTTTCTACCTGAAAAAAAGTGAAATGTGAAAATTATCACTATGGGCAATTAGGCAACTTCAATGTAATATTTATAGTTACTAGCTTCACTAAAGTTATATACTATTCTCAATAATAATAACTAGAAATTTTAATTTTAATGGCACAAATACATAAATATAATTACATCAAATTTAATGGGACAAATACATAAATACAATTACAAAATCGAGAAAGAGGATTAAAAAGTATGTTCTATAAGAACTTTAACTTAGACACCGAAAATCATGAGATTCTAAGTTACACAATTATTAAAGATTATAAATTTCCAATTTTAATACTCTCCTTCATCTTACTTTTAATGATTCAAAGCATATTTAATTTCTCTGTTAACTATAATTCCCCAATAACCTTTTAAAATATCAGTTTCTTTATAAAAACCTGTTTACCCAGGTACTACTAACCTAAAAATTATCATTCTTCATTTGGAGACTCAAGATCCTGTAAGATTTCTTTTCACAACTTGTAAACTTTGGGCTGAAAATGATATCTATTTTTTAATATTTTTATTGGCATCTAATAATTATTTTTATTAGCATCTAATAAATATTATTATTAACATCTAATAATTACACAGAACAAAGTATCATCATGATATTTTATACAGCACATAATTATGTATTTTGAAGAAGAGGTATATATTTAGCTATTTATTTCTTCTGGAATAGTAAGAAGGTATGTTCAAAATATCCATCTTCTCAGTGACACACTTCATGATTTTTATGAATAGCTTCCTTAGGGACAGTTGTAGAAGTCACAATTCATCTTACACCTAGTTCATTTCTTTGAGCTACTTGAAATGTGTAGAGAATGAAAACCCTTGTGTCTGAACTCCAGTGAACACTCTGAAGTGGTCATCTCCCCAAAGTCATCCCAGCATTCCCTGTTTTCAGAGAAGCTGCTGTAAAAGCACATTGCTGGCCAAGTCCCTTAAACAACTTTAAAATCTCTAAGTACTATTTTGCATTGCATGAGCCTAAATAACTTTAGGTTATTTTACTCTTGGTCTGCAGACTGAGCCCCAAAACATTGAACAAGGCAGCTTGGTTTTAGTAAGAACTTAGCAACAAACAAACAAACAAAAAAACCAAAATTGATGTGTCAGTTTTCTTGCTTGCTAAGAATTTCAGAAAATAAAAATACATAAATAGTCTCAATAGTAAAGAAAACAGGGAAGGTAGGACATACCCAAATCTAATACCAGAGACGAAAAGAGGCAGGAAGTGGAACCCCAAGCTACTTCTTGCTTAAATTATTCTCCTGAGAATATTGCTTGCAAAAGCAAAACCTTTAATGGATACTTGAGACCCTGACCAGATTGCCACGTGGATGTATCCTGAAGAATCCAAAGAACTATACAGAGCACACAATGCCTTTTCAAGTCCTCAGAATTTTACCATAAGAGATAGAGTTTTGGAGAGTGTTCTTTCTATTTGAAAACTCAACTCAGTTTCATCTAAGAAGTTCCACACTTGCTGACTAGACACTTGCAAGGTCCATAATTATCCAACAGAAGCCCGAGCCCTGGAGGAATCCTGAGTTTTCCATGAGCAAAGAAGAAACGTCTTAAAGGAAGACATGGCAGGGAACATCTCAGAGGCAAAGACCATAAAAGTACTGACAGGCTTCAGTCTCACTAGGGCTGTTCACTTGTAGATCCTGGGTTCCTATAAATAGCCCGAGGGTACGTGTCCCTCTCTCTCTTTGCCCTAAGAAAGCTAAAGAACTCCTCCAGGAGGAGTGGCAACTGTCCTGTGAAATCCGATGCTAGATATGAGGTCAGGTGGACCAGAAATAAAAGGAAGCCACTGAGAAGGAAGACTCCACTCAGGGATCGGAGCTGCCTTCAGCTTACTCTTCAGCCGCACTGCTGTGTTGCAGCCCAGAACTCCATCATGGTGGGTTCTACAAGAAAACGATATGTCCTTATAGAAGGATACCATTGGGCAACAGGAGCTTACTGAGAAGACAGGCAGACAAGGAATAGAATGGAGGGGAGAACCTGCTTAGTATAAGGATTTGGGAACCTAATACTGGTTTCGATGATCTATGACGAAGAGAGAAGAAATTACTTCCAACTATTGCACCAGATTGGGGGGGAAATGCATCTTCTTCCCCAGAGCAGTCCGTCAGCAGCTTTTGGTATTTCACGTAAGATTCATCTAAATTTAGAAGGGAAAAAAAAAGTGCAACTATAGTAAAATAGTATGCTTTAAAAATAGAATTCAATGATAACTGATAGCTAAAATTAAGCAAATTGCATCTGATTTCTTCAATTTCATATACTAGTACAAAAATATGTTAATTAAACAGAAGGACCTAAGGTGGTTTTTTTATACCATTTTATTTGCAGTTTTAAATGTATACCTTATCAGATGTATGCTACATATAGATCACTAGGACATTCTAGAAAGTGTTCAATTTAGCATTTTTAGTATCTTTACATCATTAAGATATTGAGAAAAGATTTCCTAATTATCTTTTGCAGTAGATTTTACACTCCAAGGTTCAAAATTGCCCTCATACACCCTTCCTGTGCTGAGACCCCTACATGGTTTCCTAAAGGTCTCAGAGCAGAGAACATTCACTCTGTCAATGCATTTGAAAGTTCTTTCTTTCTCTCTCTCTCTTGCCATGCAGTCCTTCAGTGCTGACCAGATTGCCGGTAAGTGATTTGAGCTTCTCTACCGAAGGCAGAACTCTGCCTGTCTCGAAATGTCACTTAACTCCACAGCATGCTCCTTTGTGGCTCAGACTGTTCGTGTCCATGCCATGCCTGAGCTCAGAAAACTGGGCTGACTTCTGGAGCTCACTTTGAAGAGCACTCAGGGGATGAGCTGGACGCACTTATAAATCAGGACGCTCTTTTCTGGTTAAAACATATTTTATGATTAATTTCTTTCTAACAGATCGAGTTCTCTAAGGAGCAGCAGGATGGTAAGTTAAGAGCTGTAGCCGTTCATATGTGCAGACTCATAGAGATGGCGAGTGAGAAAACCAACTCCCTTGGGATGAGCTAAGTGCTGCCTAATTATCCACACTGGTGGTGTTCCGCTAAATATAAATTGCTTTCCCTCACTCTAAATATAAACCTGTATAACTGAAGCCCTTGCTTATAGTTAGTGATCAAAGATCTAAGGAAATAAGAAATAGAATATAAGCCTATATAGCCACTGATTTCTGAATAAGATGAACTTGATACATAGGAAAGATTATATATGACACAGTCACAAAGGATATAGGTTTTAGAAAACTAATTTACTCATCAAAACCCTAGAGAGAGACTTGGTAGGTCTGGGGTGTTCAATAAAAGCTGTCCTGATGGTCAAACCTGCCTAGTTTCTGTGGAAACATGGCATGTGGATTAGCAGTGAATTCACAGACAGAGAAGGATCCTAGTCCAGCACCTCGTTAAGGGATATGAGACACACAAGTGGAGAGATGATACGTCTTTCTTCCTCAATGACCAAAGAATTAGGAAGAGTATCATGATCTTAGGTGAATTCAAACGGACTAGACAGTTTTCTCATGAACAGATACTATCAATGAGTCTCAAACATTTTTTAAAATTGAAGAGACCCTGGATAGCTTCCCTAAAACTTGAATTTTTTTTCCCTTTGTGTCTTTAGATTCAAAAGGGCCCAATCTCCCAAACAAGCTCAATTTTTGGGTTAGGAAGTATAGGGAGAAAATTTTAATGGGGTGAAATCATCACAGTATATGGACAAGCTAAATAAAGTTCATTTGTAGAAAAGAGAGACAGAAACAGGTTAGTTTTGTGATGTTATATGTTAGGCGATTGGCCATAATAATGTATAGTATATTGCAATATATAAGATACAAGTAATTATGGGTGGTTAGTAACTGTTCTCTACCTAAAGCCTTCCATATCCTCAGTCTCTTTCAGGATCATGTTTGTTATGAATGTTGAGTGGGTATCAGTTTAAAACAAAAGGTTATTTGCTGTAGTACAAACTCACTGATATCAATATCATGGTTATTGGCCTCATGTAGACAGTTTAGATGATTGGATACTTTCAATTCAAGATTGTTTAAAGTTATACTATGAAGGATTTGTCTTAAAGGAAATAATGATTCTAATTTGTTTAAATATACTTTTAACGGATGATGCAGCTACATCATTAACCCTGGCCTCCCAGTCCTCTATAGTTCTTGACTTACAATATCACCATGGCTGCTAAACTATTACTGGACCAAATAATGAAAGATTCAAAAACTCTTGCTGAGACAAATGTACTTATTGTTGAGTGTGAGACCCATTATCCAGTATTGAAAACAGGTTTTAGCCACAGAATTGAATAAACATTGTTACATTGGCCTGGTTTTTTTTTTTTTTCTCTTTGTGTCAAAAAAACAGGTGTAAACTATTTAAACTAAGTGGGAATTCTGTGCCTTCAGCATAAATCAAAACCACTTGAATTTGTGTCCTTGCTTAATGAATGAAGATTGTTGTTCATACCATTCTATTTGGATTGAAGGGAAGGGGGGGAAAGTTCAGAAAACTACAGCATTTCGAAGGTTTAGGACTCCGGCTGTTTCTTAGCATGACCATCAGCTACATACGGCTACTTAAGCATTAATTAATTTTTAAATTATCAATGTTAAAGTCTGTATCTTCACGCTCACCAGCCACATGCAAGTGTTCAAAACCACCATTATAGGGCAGTCGGAGAATAATTTCATCACCAGATATTTTGGAAATGGTGTGGTTCTGGGCAAAAAGTCAGCTGATACGTTCTTAAAGGACAAATAGGAATACCCTGTTAGGCTTTGCCTGCACTGTTGTCTGTGAAGACAACTCCACTGTGTTCTTGAGGTTCAGCCAAAACCACAAACAATACATAAACAAAGGGGCATGGTGAAATTATAATAAAATGCGGTTACTATAGCCAGTCAAGGAAGGAGGTCTCCAGTCTGTTCTGGAACCAGGAAGAGAAGAACTAAACCTTGGGCTAAAAGTCCAGGATTAAAAGAATTAGTTCTCTGGCCTCTGCCTTTAAGTTACCAAAGGATAATGTCAGAGAGATTCCATTACAGTCATAAAAGTCCCATTTCTACACCAGCATCTGAGCCGGGTGACGGCAAGTCCTCAGAGCACTGGGCCTGGTGTCTGAAGCCAGTCGCGAGAGGAGTCCAGTTGCACGTGACCTTTAGAAAGATAAAAAATAGTATGTGACTCATGAAACCACAAGGCATAAGTATTTTTCTTCCAGGTTGGGGCAGATTATGGTGAGATTGCATAGGATTTAAATAAGAATGGGAACATGAACTATAGCGAATTGTGTACATGGCACCCAGTGTAATCTTAGATTAAAAGGCACTGGGATATCATAAAATTTGTGCTCCAAAAGAAGATGTTTCTACAAACTTAAGAAGTTTGAGTTAAACTCACATAAAATAGCCCCAGCTGGAAATTTGCTTTCTTGAAATTTTACTAACATTGCCAATTAATTGAAGGACTATTTGGAGACTCTTAAGCTTTCTCAAGGCATCAGAATATTTTAAGTGGCTCTTGCTTCCTACATAGATGAAAGAAATATGAATCACTACCACTGGGAGCTCCAATTTCCATAATTAAAATTAATTCCACATTAGTAATAACGTGGCTTAAAACTAGAGATGCTGCTTTAAAACAATTCCCCACAGAAACACCAAAAGGGTTGGCCGGTGATTGTTTAATAGGGGGAGATAACTTCAGTGGTTGGAAGAAATTATAAAAACAGAGGAGAGTTTGAACTGAACCCTTGAAGGACCTGGGGTTAATTAGAAGATTCCAGAAAATAAAAGGCCAGTACCCACCAGGGCCTGAACGTATTGTGCTTTTTGCAGAATTCAAGGAGGCGTTTCTCCTGTTTGACAGAACAGGAGAAAGCAAGATCACCTTAAGTCAAGTGGGAGATGTCCTCCGGGCTCTGGGCACAAACCCCACCAATGCGGAGGTCAAGAAGGTTCTGGGGAACCCGAGCAATGAAGGTAGGTTTCTCGAAGATCATTGAAAATTGGGAAGAGGCTCCCACACAATAGACTCAGTTTGCTCCTGAGGGTGGCAGCCTTGCCTCTCCTCCCTGGGAAGCCTCAGCTTTTGTAAATAAAAAAAGGATCTACCTTTCATTGAGGACCTGTAAGTGTGATTAAAAAAAAAAAAAACAGCACACTAGAGGAGAGAAATGGGATGGAATGATGAGACCATCGTGCTCAGCATCATATCTAAGTCCAGGGCTAATGAGGTAAGGTATAGATGAGCACAATCCCTTTTCCAGAGTCCATACCTTCAAAGGCAAAAGTACATTTTAAAGAGTAGTTTAACTTTAACTACAATACAGTTGCATCACCTCCCTCCTTTCCTCGTGGAGCCAGTATACTGAGTGAGCTTTCCTCCGTCCCCTCCCTGGCCCCTTCCTTCCAACCCTCCCCATCCTCCCCCTCACTCCCTCTCACATTCACAGACTCTATTCTTTTGACTGTTATTTTTATATAGGTGCATAAATATAAACACATACATACAACCCTTTGGGTCTGTTCAGTGTTGCCTGTATGATATCAGGGCAGACCACTTGGTTTTGAGTAATTAGGGGGCTCATCCCTGGGAAAGGTGAAATCTTCCTCTCTCAGCTTTCCTCGTTTGCCTGTAGTTCTTTGTTTAGAAGTGGGGTCTAAGATTCCCCGCATCCATGTTGTCATGTCTATTCTTGCCCTTCTTTGGGTTCTGTTCAGGTAGCCATACTGTTGAGGTTATAGGTGCATCTTCCCCGTGTCTTTCCTAGGAGACACAATCTCACAGCAGACTTCCTGATCCTTGGCTCATAAAACAAAATTTTAACAAAGACGTTGAATATAGCGAAAATATAATACACTTTGTATAAAGCCAGGGATAATCATAATGACATCCTTCTAGAGAACACCTCTTTTTTGATAAACAGCCATGAACATAAAGTTACAGTGTTCTGAAGCCACTCAGACACATCTACTGACCTTAGTCAATACACTTTGGCAATGTACAATGACCACTTTAAAGGAACTCAACTATCTTAATTAAATAGGCAGGGTTACATCTTAATGAGTATTTTCTATTTTCACATGACAATGTCTCACTTAGAATCATCCCTCTTTAACAGAATTATTAGGTAAGTCCTCATTTACTCAACACCCAAATGTGATCTTTCTAATATTGCCCAGTGTGTCAGATTTTCTTCTATAAAAGAAGAGGGAAATTTTTATTTGGGGATTATATAATGTCATCTATATACATATATAGATATGTATAGATGAAAGTTTATATGTGTGTATGTACACACACACACACACACACACACGTATGGGTAGTTTATTTTATACTTTTTTGTGAATAAGTTTTATCTCATCAGAGATTTTGAAGAACATCCTAGCATCTCTAGCCTGGAATTAGAAAGGAGTCAGGATGTCACACACTATTTGACACACACTCTTTCCTTGTGAGCCTCTTTTTAAAATTACTTCAAATTTAAAGAAATTGAAGACTCTTCAAAGACTCAGGCATAGGGGGCCATATGGAGTCAAAGTTCAGTGACATTTCACTGTGTTTATGTTATTATGGAAAACTTTATATTGTTTCCCTGGTACTTACTGAATATAGTAAATCATAGTACTAACAAAATGTATTAAGTAATCAATTTGTCCCAAACACTTTAACAAGCTTTTCATGCATTGGGTTCATTAAAAATCTCACATTAACGCTGTAGAGTACTTCTATTCTAAAATTGAGAATGTAGTGCGCAAAGAGGTTGGAAGAGTTGAGCCAAAGGGCTGAAGAGAGGACTCAGCAGTTAAAGGCATTTGCTGCTCTTGCAGGGGAACTGGGTCAGGTCCCCAGCACCCACATCAAGTGACACAACCAGTACCTCAAGTTCCAAGGGGTCCAACACCCTCCTCACCTTCTGCAGGCACCAGCAAACGTGTGGCGCACATCCCACATACATACATGTAAAATAATTTAAAGAGAGGAAAGTCAAACCACATTGGGGGGCAGGGCATACCTTTAATCTCAGCATTTTCAAAGCTGAGATAGAGAAGGCTCAGGAGTTTGACGTCATCCTCCATGGCAAGTCGGAGGCCACACAGGGATGAGTGAGATCATGTCTTTAAAAACTAACAATGAATAAAAATAGAGCGGTTAGCAAAGTTGCTCACTGCTGCATAGTTAGATTGAGCTGGGGATAAAGCTTAGCACTGGGACCATAGAATTCATACTATTGTCTGTTACTATATTTTTTTTGTCAGTTTAGTAGTTTATCAACTGACATTTAAGTTGTGTGACGATTTTTATGAACATTTGTATTTGGTTTGTGACTCAGGGGTGGTATCTTACGGTGACTACTAACTCTGTAAACGGCAAATTTCTTCCAGAGATGAATGCTAAGAAAATTGAGTTTGAACAATTTCTGCCCATGATGCAAGCAATCTCCAACAACAAGGACCAGGGAGGCTATGAAGATTTTGTTGAGGGCCTGCGTGTCTTTGACAAGGAGGGCAATGGCACCGTGATGGGTGCTGAGCTCCGCCATGTCCTTGCCACTCTGGGTAAGGGCATGCATTTCCATGGGCTTAACAGGGAAGTTATACACAGGGAAGACCATGGCAGGAAAGCCATATCATAATCAAAATAGTCAGGGGAAAGACTCCAAAAGAAAAATAAAAAAATAGTAGTTGAAAGTCTATGACTTCTTCCGTTGGCCTCTGGGACAGTGAGTCTGTTTGGGGGTGAAGCAAGAACACAAAGTATTGGACATGAATAAGTAAAACACTGTGCTTCCCTCAGGCTATAGATGGGGCATGAGGGATAATGATTATTTCATCCATAGATCCAAAATCAGCTCAAGGGTAGGGAACTAAAAAGAGACAAGCATTCATCCTCCAAGAGTTCACTCAGGGTTTCAAGAGCCCATGGCTGCTGATCCCTTATAGTGGGAATCTGAAAATATTCTGTCATCCTATTTCTAAAACTAGGAGTGTTTTGTTTCACCAGGTGAGAAGATGAAGGAGGAAGAAGTGGAAACATTGCTGGCAGGCCAGGAAGACTCCAACGGCTGTATCAACTATGAAGGTACAGCCAGCCTGCACCTTCCACTTCAGCAACTCTTACATCATTGAAGATAGATTTTTTTTTTTCATTTCTTTCTTTCAATTTTTGTTTGTTTGGTTGGTTTTGGTTTTGTCTTTTTTTTAGGTTTGTTTGTTTGTTTTTTCTTTTGTTTTCTTTTGTTTTGTTTCATGACAGGGTTTCTCTGTGTAGCCTTGGCTGTCATGGAACTTGCTCTGTAGACCAGGCTGGCCTCAAACTCACAGAGATCCTCCTGCTTCTGCCTCCCAAGTGCTGGGATTAAGGGCATGCATCATCACTGCCCAGTGATAGATTCCTTTTCAATATTAACTTATTTTTCTTTTCTTTATTGATGCATTTTATTTATTATAAGTAAATGGCCTAATTCTGAAATATTTGTATAAGGTCCCAAACAGATATGCAGAATTAATTCCAGTGTTTTTTGGAAATCCCATGCAGTCTTACAGTTTAACCTGTGTTTCCTTATGTTTTCTCTTAACTTTTCCATGATATCCCTGAAGGATAGACAATGCTAAAACTAGAATTAAGTGTATTGCAACACTAGAGTTGAATAGATTTTGAAGTCATTTACTAGCACAAAAACCATGAGAATCAAGAAACTGGATGTCAAAGAGATGTCAAATCATTTACACATGGACAGATAGACACACATATACAAAGGGGGGGAGACAGAGACACACACAGAAGTGGGGGAGGGAGAGAGGAGAATGCCACTCCATAGTAGCCAGCTGTTTATTTCCAGCTGCCAGACAACAATGTCACACAGAGGGTATGAAAGCAATACATACTCAAAGTAAATATTGAAAATAAAGCTGTGTAATATCATTTGAAATTTACAATATCCCCAATATACATTATCTCTTCAAAGACCAGCCACATTTCAATAAATCTATATTAATAGCTTTGATGAAAATATAAATTTACCATGTTCTAAATTTAGAAAAAGCATAAGAAAAAATAAACAAAAAAGAGGACAGGAAAGGAGGAGGAGAAGGGAAGAAAAGAAAATAAAGGCATCCAGCCATGTCAATCAGTCTTTGCTAGAATGTACCTTTTACCCATAAATAATTCCTATTTGGTTGTTATAAATACATTATGCAGAATAACCTCTAATAATATCATTGAGACAAATAGACAGTCATCTGCAAAATAAAGTCAAATCTCAACTTCTTTTTAATCCAGTTTGACTTTTCTAACTCTTAACTGTATATATTGTCCAACAGCTTTTGTCAAGCACATCATGTCTGTCTAAATGGAGTTTTCAAGGTATACACCTACCCTCTCTATAATATTAAGGCTTGGGTGATATTTTGTTTAAAGAAATAACAGCTTCACTGCATATGCTTTAGCTATAATTAGTATTGCCTCCTAATTGCAAGTTGTTTATATTAACCAGAATATGCCATCCTCTTGATACAATAGATGCAACATATTCATGTGAGTGTACAAGCAAAACTCTTTTGCCTTTGTCTATAAACCCTGCCTTTTAAACTATACTACGATTAGACAATAGAAATTCCACTAACCAGAGACTAGTTAATTCAGTTGGCATGTAACACTACTGAAAACATTGTCCTAAGTTCTTTGAATAATAACAATAGCTTTTAACAAATACTGCTCTAACAAACTACATTTTAGTAGCTGAGATTCAAGTGCCAGCAACCAGGGTCTTAAAGCAAAGATGTGACTTGCCTTGAGAGTGTTGACTCATGGTTTCCATCAGAGTGCTCTTTCCAAAGAGATGCTATCAACATCTAACTTGCTTCTGTTTTCCCTACAGAACACAGTGTTTGGAAAGACTGGCCAGAATGTCAGTTCAAGAAGACCCATGGCTAACTGTCCATATCTTCTTACCACTACCCAGAAGATCAAAGCAATCTAGACCATTCTAGACTGAAGGATTCCCTCAGTTTTTATAAGCCTTGAGTTTTTCATTACACACAAATCAGGCATCCACTGTTCTAGGGGAGATGAATAAATATTGATATCCAGTCCAAGCATCCCTTTATCATCTACTTGGGTCCACAACATTCTTAAAACACTACATCAATAAACTTGGTCAGTCTGGAATACTCAAGTTGTGTTGTGTCTTACTTTTTTGCTTTATGAAAATAGTTTTTAAGAACTCAATTCTTATGGTAAATTATAAAAAATATTGATGAATTACAAATTTACTTTAAAAATACCACTGCAGGGCCTGATGAGACAGCTTTGTGGGTAAAGTCAAGTGCCCCCAAGCTAGAAGACCTTCATTGTATCCCTGGGATGCACACGGTGAAAGAGAACAGATTCCCACACTTGTCCTCAGGTCACAGAATGCATGCCATGCCCCGGTCCCCACACATACACACAAATAAAAATAATCAGGTGAATAGATAATAAATTCAAACAGGAAAAAATTAAAGTCATCGCAATCTACAGCAATAACAGAGTGAATAATAAAGTTATATATTATTTTAAAAGTTAAATAAGAGGACGAGGAAATTCAGACAGGAGCTGGGGTATTTTAACAGACTAGGCAATTTAAGGTAAAATTGGGTCCTTCAAATTTATATTAATCATTATTTATGACTTAATCTACTTCCTTTGTAGTAGCAATCAGCCTATTAGAGAACTGTAAAAGACTGACTTTTCTCTCTGATGACTTCAAAAATAAAATCCAGTGTGACCTTTTAGCTGTTGCTTAAAAAAAAAAAAAAAAAAAAAAGCTCCCGAGATGAAGGGCTCATTGCTCATCTCAGGATTCTGTTCATTGTTATGCCTCTCCCACTATGACCTCTTCTGCTTTCTGTGCACATGTGCCCACATCTCAGCTTAGCCCTTTACTATACATCAAAGAAGCACAAAACCTAAATGGAAAAGTTTACAGAATAAGCTTTATCACCTCCGTGTATCACGTATACCTTTCCCCAGCAGACCCCGGAAGGAGGGAGTGTTAGTGCTGTGTAGATGTCCCCACGTCCCTGAAAAGATAACCATCACAAGGAGGATTACAAATTCTCCCAGAAGTACTGGTTTAGGTATACTCTCTTGGGAGGGGATGTTGACAACTTCAGGACAACAAACTCCTTCTGTATGGCAAAAGTCACTTGTATTCTAGTCACTAACTTGTGCTTTTGTGGCTAAGTTGGGACGCTGCAACCACATGTTTAAGGAAAACGAACTATGACCCCGTGACCTTTAAGCTAGGTTTACCTTAAACCAAGAATTGGAAACACCACAAAGTGCATATCTCGGAGAATTGAAGGCTGCATCTGTACTTTCCTTTATGGGGACCACACACCAGTGCCACTGAGAATGTGAAATGTGCCTAGTGAGATGAGTTAATTGAATTTTTAATTATGCTTCACTTTAACTTATTCAAGATTTTAATTTAATGGCTACATGTGGCTCATGATTACCATATTGAACTGTGAGGCTCTCAATACACATTTACTTTTAATTATTACATGAGACAATTAAAATAGTTTTTTTAATTCACAAGGTCCACATATGGAATTGTCATTTTTTTAAAATATATGGTAGTGCATGGACTTAATCCTAGCACTTGGGAGGCAGAAGCAGGTGGAACTCTGAGTTCGAGGCTCACTTGGTCTATATAGTGAGTTCCAGGACAGCCAAGACTACACAAAAAAAAAACCATCTCTCAAAAAACCAAAAACCAGCCGGGCGGTGGTGGCGCACACCTTTAATCCCAGCACTCGGGAGGCAAAGGCAGGCAGATCTCTGTGAGTTCGAGGCCAGCCTGGTCTACAGAGTGAGTTCCAGGAAAGGCGCGAAGCTACACAGAGAAACCCTGTCTCGAAAAACCAAAAAAAAAAAAAAAAAAAAAAAAAACCAAAACCAAAAACAAAAACAAAAAAAAAAACCGAAAAAATGTTTTCAAAAGTATAAAGGTCACCGTGTAGAGAAAAGGGCGACTACATGTAGTCTCATCATAAAGGGCTCCTTTTTCTTTTACGGTCTACGACTCCATTCCCATTACGCCCATTTCTTTAAAACCTTTTTCAGCCAGAAAAGCATGGTGTCTGAGTGGTACTAAATTGTTACTTTCAAGCTTTATGTATAGTGCTTTCCTCTCAAGATTTTCTGAAACTGTTTTAACCCTCCCCACGAGACAGCTTCAGCACACTGTCATGGGACCTAACCTTATTAAATTACCATGTGTGAAACGCCCATAACTCAAGTAGCAGCAGGTGCAAAACGAAGTCGCAGGCCGAAGAGTGGTAGCCATTTTTAACACTCCCAACAGCTGGCAAGACAACAGGTGCCTGAATTCCTCAGCCTTTAAAAATAACTTTTAAAAAGCCTGTGCTGCATAAGCAAATATTTTCAAGTTTGTTTTTAAACTGTCTTCGAGTTACCTTGCCCACGAAAATACATTATACATCGATTTTTTTTTTTTGGTCTCAAAATTACATTTGAAATCTAAGCCCATAAGAATGTATTCCTCTTTAGCAATGAAATAAATAACTATTATTTAACTGGAAAATTAAGTTACATTTTTAAAACTTCTAGGTAATATTTTTCAAGAAATATCACATAGTAAAGGGACTGTAATATACCTTCCCTAACTTGTCATCTTGTGGCAGCCTTCCGTAGCAATGGTAAAATTCTTTTTCAGTGATGACAAATATAACTTGCAACTTAGCAGAATGAAGAAAGAATATCTTCCCTCAACGCCATGATTTTCATAAAATCGTGAATCTACAGATCTCCTCAGCAATGTCTATAATCCCCAAAGAATGGAGATTAAACAGTAAATATCAATTTGAACTCCAGACTAATGACCGAAACACTACAATCACCAAGGCAGGAAAGTTTGGGGGTGGGAGGGTGAATAAGTAATTCAGGCAAAGATTTCAATTTTACAGTTTGGTAAGCAATAAGTGGGTGAGTCCCAGGCTAAGAAAAAGCCATGGCATGGGGAACAGTGATGGGTTACAAGACCTGCTGGCGAGCCTTCCAGAAGCTTCACAAAAGAGAGGTATTCTCAACCAGCATTAGCATTTGGTAGGAAAAAATCCTACCTAACTTTTCCTCTCCTAACAGTATCCTAACAGACTTTATTTCCTAACAGTGTGACTGACCAGAGACACCACAGCCATGCAAAACAGAAGCAGTGCCCCTCCTAGATCAGGCCAAATGTGGCCCATGCCTTGAACTCCAGCTTTAGAGCACCCCACTCCAGCCTTACTTCTCACTGAAAAACCCCCTCCCTCCGGATCCAAGCAGTATACTCAGGAATACAGCATGCCACTCTATCCTAGGCCACTCAAGGTACGCAGGAGCCCAAATTTCCCTGCCTAATGGTGTCAAGCCTCCTCCAAGGACAAGAGTGGGCATCTTCCTAGGTCCACCCTTCTAGGGGAAGACCTGCAGTGGTGAGTATAGCCATGAGACAAAGAGGCTGTTAATGCCTCCTAGCATTGTTTGTTCACCTGAGTCTTATTCACCAGGCAACTCCTGCCAGTCCAGGACAGTGCTGAAGGAAAGAACTGAAGATGAGCAAGCTCTGTGTTATGTGGCAGATCACCAAGAAGTCAAAAATTCCACCTTGGCTTTCTTGGTAATTATGACACCATATTTTTCAGAAGAAAACAAAAAGGTCTACAGAAGGAAACAAAAATCTATGTCACAGCTTGTTAGTTTGATCCATAAGCAAGCATTTAAATTTATTCTAACTGAGTCTCTCTCTGTGCTCTTGTCTGTAAGATTTGAAGGTGGACTTTCTGAATATAAAGCTTAGACTTTTCAGGGACCAGTCTTAACATTGCTCAGAAATAGAGGCCCACTTCATTTAAATAATTAAGGAAATAATTGCTGAGTAATACTCCATTGTGTATATGTAGCACATTTTCTTTATCCATTCTTCGGTTGAGGGGCATCTAGGTTGTTTCCAGGTTCTGGCTATAACAAATAAAGCTGCTATGAACATAGTTGAGCAAATATCCTTGTGGTATGATTGAGTATCCCTTGGATATGTGGCCAAGAGTGATATCCTTAGGTCTTGAAGTAGATTGATTCCAAATTTTCTGAGAAGTTCCATACTGATTTCCAAAGTGGCTGTATAAGTTTGTACTCCCACCAACAGTGGAGGAGTGTTTCCCTTGCTCCACATGCTCTCCAACATAAGCTGCCATCAGTGTTTTTGATCTTAGCCATTCTGACAGGTGTAAGATGGTATCTTAGAGTTATTCTGATTTGCATTTCCCTGATGACTAAGGATATTGAGCAATTCCTTAAACTTCTTTCAGCCATTTGAGATTCTTCTGTTGATAATTTTCTTTTTAGCTCTGTAGCCCTTTTTTTTTATTGAATTGTTTGGTATTTTGATGGCTAGTTTCTTGAGTTGTTTATGTATTTTGGAGATCAGCTCTCTGTCAGATGTGGGGTTGGTGAAGATCTTTTCCCATTCTGTAGGCTGTCTTTTTGCCTTATTTATCATGATCTTCGCCTTACAGAAGCTTCTCAGCTTCAGGAGGTCCCATTTATTAATTATTGCTCTCAGTGTCTGTGCCACTGGTGTTATTGTTAGGAAGTGATTTCCTGTGTCAATGGGTTCTAAGCTACTTCCTCCTTATTCTTCTATCAGGTTCCGTTAGCTGGATTTGTGTTGAAGTCTTTGATCCACTTGGACTTGAGTTTTGTGCATGGCAATATATATGGATCTATTTGCAATCTTCTACATATTGACACCCAGTTATGCCAGTACTACTCAGCTGTAAAAAACAATGACATCATAAAATTTGCAGGCAAATGGATGGAACTAGAAAATATCATCCTGAGTGAGGTAATCCAAACTCAGAAAGACAAACATGATATGTACTCACTCGTAAGTAGATACTAGATGTAAAGCAAAGGAAAACCAGACTACAACCTACAGCTCCAGAGAAGCTAGGAAATAAGGAGAACTCTAAGAGGAACAAATGGATCACCCTGGGAAGAAGAAATAGATGAGATCTCCATGAGTAAACTGGAGGTGGGGTGGGGGGACGATAGAGGGGAGTGAATGGGGGATGAGAACATGAGGGAACTGGATGGTCAAGCTGGGGGAGGGACGAAGTAGGAG